GACCTGTTTCCTTTTATCCCAATCATGGAGGCTGAGTGGATGTTAGAAAAAAAATCATTTTTTGAAAATTAAAGAATACCTCTAAAAGTATGCTTTTTCAGAGATTCCTCTGAGAGACTCTGTCATCTGGAGACTCTAAAAAGGCATAGAGTAGAAAATACAGGTTGAGAATCTCTAATCCAAAATACTCCAAAATCCAAAACGTTTCAAGTGCTAGTGGGATGCCAGAAGTGGAAGATTCCACACCTGACCTCATGTGACGAGTGGCAGTCACAATGAAGTTGAAACTTTTTTTAATGCACAAAATTATGAAAGTATTGTATGAAACTAAATTTAAGCTGTGCTCACAAGTTGTATGTGAAACATAAATGAATTTCTGCTGGAAAGTGGACCCCCAAATTTGTGTCTGGCCTGAAGGCCGAGAGTGTTTTGGCTTTGTTCAGGAAAGAATTCAAGCTTTAAGTTGGAAACAAAAGCAACATTTATTAAAGACACAAATAGCAAGCAGGCTCCCCCACAGACAGAGTTGCACCTTTGCATTGCTGGTGAACAGTATTTATGGCTATCTCTTGACATACGCTAAATAAAGGGAGAATATTCATGGATTTTCTGGGGGAAAGGGTGGAGATTTCCAGAAATGAAGGTGGGTTCCTCTTTTCTTACTCTCCAAGGCAACTTCCAGGGTTATAATGACAAATGTAAACTGTCCTGGTGCCAGTGGGCCTTTCTTTTAGGGTGCTAATACATTATAAGCAGGGTATAATGAGCAAGAAGGGTGAGCCTTGTTTTTTTCTACTCTTACTTAACCTGTTTCTTTATGGCATCCTGATTTCCTGTTTGTCTTGGTTTGGGCCTTGTATTATTATTATTTTTTAATGATTGATTTTTATTTTTTAAGTTTTTTAATTAAAAAATTTTCTGTTTGCATTTCAGATTAATATGAGGGCAGAAATATTTAGGTCACAGTGTTTTCATTTCTAAGGTAAAGTTCAAGTTGTAGTTGAGCCCTTCACCCAGGTGTGCTGTATACCTTGACTTTGTGCACATTAGGTGAGAACTTGCCAATCCCCTTCCCCCTCCTCTCTCCCCTTTCCCTCCTCTCCCTCCCTCTCACTTAAATATACTTCTCTTTTTCTCTCCTGTGGGCATATAGTTGTTTATATCTTGGTTTCATATTAGTATTGAGTACATTGGATACTTGGTTTTCTATTCTTGCTTATTCTATTCTTTATTAAGAAAAATGTATTTCAACTCCATCCAGGTAAATACAAAAGATGTAAAGTCTCCATCCTTTTTTGTGGTTGAATAGTATTCCATGGTAGACATATATCATAGCTTGTTGATCTGTTCCTGAGTTGATGGGCACTTAGGTTGCTTCCACATCTGGGTGATTGTGAACTGAGCTGCAACAGAGTTGGGCCTGCAGATTCCCTATCTCATTTTAGACTTGGGTCCCATTCCCAAGATATCTCATTTTGTTTTGGATATTTCTTTGGAAATCCCCACCTTCATTTTGGGCCTAAGATTGGATATAAAGTATAATTTTGTTTAGGGTGAGGCAAACTGAGACCGACATTATTTCCCTCCTGCCTATAACAACAATTAAAAAAATGAACAAAAAATATCCAGTCTCCCAAGACTGCCACGACAGCTGCACAAATGGCATAATCCCCTCTTACAACTATGATGGCCATGACTATTTGTTGCTCCAGTGGCAGAGGCCAGCACATTGGATGTGTGTCCTATATAGATTTGAGCTGTTGAATCAGAACCAACAAACATTTGGTTCTCTGTGGCACTGGATGGGGAGCAGGGATCTCTGCTGTGTATTGGAGAGTGTACAGAAAAGGTTACTATTATGAGGTGGAGGGGAAAGGAAAGTTCTACATTGAGAATTGTATGAAACACAACTAAGGCTGTCTTTCTGTAGTTTTGAGATAAAATATGGAAGTTGTAGGAGGAAAATTTCTATGTTCTTGTTTCATACAGGCTTCTTGTTTACACCTTTGGAGAGAAAATTGTATACGTGGGTTCCTAAAGTTCTAGTTAAGTGTGTTCACGTCATGGCTTGTTCAATAATCATTGCCTTGGGGTCGGGTGCTGTGGCTCATGCCTGTAATCCTAGCACTCTGGGAGGCTGAGGCGGATGGATTGTTTGAGCTCAGAAGTGTGAGACCTGGCTAGACTAAAAATAGAAAAACAATTAGCCAGCATTGTGGCAAGCGCCTGTAGTCCCAGCTGCTCACTCGGGAAGCTGAGGTAGGAGCCCAAGAGTTTGAGGTTTCTGTGAGTTATAATCATGCCATGGCACTCAACCCTAGGGCAACAGAATGAGACTCTGTCTCAAAAAAACCAAAAGACAAAACCCCAAAACAATCATTGCGTGGGCCCTGGGGCAACAGAAATGACTGGCACTGGGCCTATGGAAGCTGGAGTCCAGGAGGGGACAGTGGGCCCATAAAGCAGTATGAGACACCTGTGAGGGAAATTTGGAGGCCAGGAGGGATTTTTCTAGAAAAAAAAATACACCCCAGGCCACCAACCAAAAGTTAGTGTTTATGTTTGATATAATCAAAAATAGTAGCTAAGCTCTATTGAGCCTTAATAAGACCCAGGAAGAAATCCCAGCCTTTATCTAATGCTTTCAGATGGCTCTAGGAGGTATTTTATGATCTCTGTTTTTATAGATGAGCAGACAGGCATGAAGAAATTGAGTAACTTTCCTGGAAAGTCCCACTTTCCAGCCTTTCAAAAGAGAACAATTGAGCACAGCTTCCTTAACTTGTATATTTAGGCTCCTAAATTGTGGATGCTTTTTGCATCTGTTTTTAATAGCTACTTGGTGTACATTAAGTTTAATAATATCAATTTCTCGTATTTCCTCCTTTTTATTCTACTTTCCTTGAGAGCAAGAGTTTTGTTTCGTTTGCTGTAGAAGTCCCATCCTGCAATATGGAGACTTGTCCAAGATATTTATTGAATGAATTCATAGATTCAGATATTTGAAATTCAAAATGAAGATTTTCTTAAGGACATACTGACTCCTTTGTAGCACCTTTGTCAGTACTTTGCAAAAATTAGTACTTAATACATGTTTAGAGAATGTATAAATGAAACTATCCTTTTTGAATAGGGGACAGTGTTGACTGATTCTGATACATTGTGTCTTTTTTATTGACGTGAGTAATAGATAGTGACTTCTCTGTTTAGTTCCTTTTAAATTCTAGGACTGGATTTTTCCAAGTTTATGTTTTTAGAGCTTTGCCAATTTAGTGGAAGTCTCTCAATATATAGAAAATATTGCTGACTGTGCAGAAGGGTAAAAGGGTAGAATGACTTGAGATGAATCATCTAGTCTTTATCTAGGAAGTTTTCCGTGCTTATAGATAAGTTTTAAAGACACACGAAGCAATCAGTCAATCTATTTTTTTCCCCTTTCCTTTCTTTTGTTTAACAAGAGCTAATTATCTAGATTTCTATTAAGTGACGAATGCTTATGTTTAGGGTTGGTGCATATTGGATAAGATCTGTTGAACTATGTAAAGGAGTTCGTTAAGTTGCCTCATTAGTAATCATCTGGATACCTGAAGACAGGGTGGTAATGAGACCACAGCAGGATCTGTAACATGTTTGCTGGCCTGGTGCATTTCATCCCATGGTAGGATAGGAGTAGATGAAAGAGTGAGGTGGGAACTGCACCAGTGTGGAGTTTGAACACGCCCCTTTGTAGAAAGCTCACTTTCATCCCTGTTCTAATACATAGCGTATAAAACAGTACATGCACTGGGATTGTGGCCCTTCTGTGACTCAGAATGGGATTTCACAGCAGAGTAGGAAAAGCTGCTTCATGCCATTGTTTTCCCCAAATGATTAAATTAAGCATATTTGCCTATTGTTAGAAATTGTTTTTTGTTTCTTCAAATGAATAATCTCGGTATTATTTAAAAAAAATAAAACAGTACATGCAAACTTATTCCTATGACAAATGACTTCATAGTAGGCTCGGCGCCTATTGCTCAGTGGTTAGGGTGCCGGCCAACATACACTGGGGCTGGCAGGTTCGAACCCAGCCTGGGCCTGCTAGACAACAATGACAGCTGCAACAACAACAACAACAGCAACAACAACAACATAGCCGAGCATTGTGGCAGGTGCCTATAGTTCCAGCTACTTGGGACACTGAGGCATGAGAATCGCTTAAGCCCAGAGTTTGATGTTACTGTGAGCTGTGACTTGATGGCACTCTACCGAGGGTGACATAGTGAAACTCTGTCTTAAAAAAAAAAAAAAATTTCATAGTAGGTCAAAGTATTTTCTATTAGGACAAGACCAATCTCATTAGCTAGCTATCTATGGTGCACACAATGTCCCCCTTTGCCTGGACTTGGAATACAACTTATGGAGGGGCTTGGTTGTGACTTGAATTTTGTAGACTAGAAGGGATTTTGTTAGGGAGAAGAGCGAGTACCAAGGTCTTACTTGCATTTGGGGACAGTTATAGGCTGTAGGATGTGCTGCTGCACAGCCAGTGGTAAGCTATGCTTGCAGAATGTGCATCTGGTCTTGCTGAGGTTGCTTCTCTCCTCTCTTCAGTTTTCTGTGAAGTCTTAGCCACTCCATATGAGTGAGAATTTTGAAGTTTTGAGAGTTTGACATTCTCTCCATAGGCTTATGGTACAAGATATGAAAATGTCTTTTAGCAGAATTAAGAGAACACATCAGGTATATCTTTACTTCCTTGCTAGAGGTTTGTATATTTAGAGATCTTATTATTCAATGTGAGATTATTGACCAATTAAGTTGTATTTTGATTTTCACACGTGGCTCAATTGTGCCTGTGTTGTGTATAATCAAAGGCAGTAAATGCTTAGCTTGTTTAGGGTTGGCCTTGGCATTTTAAATTGTCATCCTCAATACTTAAATACATCGTATCTCCCTGAACTACTGGGGTTACATTGTTTTCTCACCTGGACTATTACATAACCATACTTTCTGTTTAGTTTCAGAAATCCTGGATTGAAGGAGTCTTTGACAAGAGAGAATGTAACAAAGTCATACCCAGCTCAAAAGATCCTCATAGGTATAATCTTTAATTATATATTTCTTTTTAAAGGAAGGACCTTTTTACTTGAAGGATTGTTTATAGAAACTTAGAGACATGACTTGTCTCAACCATTTGATAAGATCTACAAAGTTAATGTTTTCAGTGTTTGTTTCTTTCACTTTATAAAAGTATTACATGATTGTTTTAGAAAATCTGATAAGAACGGGAACCTTGTCAGTCTTATGCCTCTTAACCCATGGCCTGTGACAGTGTCTGCCACACAGCAGTCTCCTGATAAAAGTCTGTTCAATGAATTAATGAAGTATAAAGAAGAAAGAATCTAATTGTAATGTAATTACTGTTAATATTGTGTTGGATTTTATTCCACTTGATGCTCTTGTTTCTTTTGGTGGGGGGATAGAAATTAGGGAACTATTTGGTGGTGTGCCCTTTTTGCCAGATTTGGATACATAATTTAACCTTTGAATATTGAATACTCAACATATTGTGAAAGTTGTGGAAAGTTCCTTATCCCCTGGCCAGGTGTGATGGCTCACACCTGTAATCCTAGCACACTGGGAGGCCAAGGTGGGTGGATTGCTTGAGCTCACAAGTTTGAGACCAGCCTGAGCCAGAATGAGACCTCGTCTTAAAAAGTAGCTGGGCATTATGGCATGCACCTATAGTCCCAGCTACTTGGAAGGCTGAGGCTCATTTGAGCCCAAGTTTGAGGCTCATTGAGCCCAAGTTTGAGGTTGCTGGGAGTATGATGCCCCAGCACTCTACCGAGGGTAGCAAAGGGAGACTGTCTCAAAAAAAAAAAAAAAAAAAGAAAGAAACTTCCTTATCCCTGATCAAAGTGTCTATGGAAAATAATGACTGGGATATTTCAGCACCCTGTGTACACACAGGTAACTTTAGTTTCATTTTCCTCCCCTAAGCTTTTCCTTTGAGCAGATAATGGGCAGCAGAATGGAATGCGTTTGATTACTTAGAGTTCATGACAATCCTTTGGAATCTCTACTTGTAGGCCAAAGTTCAAAAAGAAAAAAAAAAAAAAAAAAACTGCTGTCACTGAAAGATAGGGAAAGGAAGGGCTGTGAAAAATTCCCCAGGGTAATCAGAATCATGAAATTAAAATGGAATGGCAGTGCCTTGGAGAGAGAAATTAAAAGGAAAATAGAAGAGCAATATTTTAATGAGGACAGTCGCTCAATTTTTAGATTCCTTTGAGCAATTGGCCTTATATTCATTTAAGGTGTAGAAGTATAACCAGATGCTTAGGAAGGGTAGTGTGCTGAGGTTCTTGAAATTCTAGTTTTGGGGGATGACTGAAGTATTGCTCTTTGTTAAATATTTACCAGTCCCACCCTCACGGAATTATCTGTGATTTATAAGCCCTGTGATTGGAAATTCTCTTTTTACCTGCTTAGAAAATGTTTACTATATCCCGAGGTAACCTTGATTTTCCCCTTCAACTTTTATGACATCTTGTAATATGATGGTTTGTGTTGTGGAAAGTAGATTTAAGCTCCACTGGCTCCTTTTACTTTTGTAAACGGATAATCATCTTTGCAATCACCCTGAACCTCACACAAAGTGATGAAATTACTATTCATAAGTCTTATTATTACCCCGTACACTCAAAAGAACATTAATGATCCTAATTCTCCACAAATGGTCAAAGGCATATTACATTTTATGAAGGAAAAAAAGCAGTCTCCATTCTTTGGGTATTGTAAAAAAAGTTAATGGATGACTATGGCTCTTTCTCCTATGCCAGCCTTTTTTTTTTTTTTTTTTTTTAGATCCTAGTAGGATTCTGAAAATTGCAGCTTTTGTGAAGTTTTCTTCATTATGATGGACAGGAAAAGGCTGGTAGTTCACTATCATAAATTTTGATAAAAGTTTATCTCGTGTATTGATTCTTCTTATAGCTCCTAATAGAAAACAAATCTGATCGATTTAATTATAACATCTTTTTCCTTCTCATTTTCAACTTGTGGAAGTAAGGCTTCCATGAAAAGACATTCCCCAAAAGGCTGGGATAGGAAGATGTGAAAGGCCTGAATATTAGTTTCTGAATAACCTGGAGTGACCCTTATTCTATGAGCATTACCTTTTCTTCTATTATTTTAACTAGAATTCTGTTAAAATTCTTTGGATTGAAAATATAATCATTGTCTTTTTTTTTTTTTTTTTTCTTTTTGGCCAGGGCTGGGTTTGAACCCACCGCCTCCGGTATATGGGGCCGGCACCCTACTCCTTTGAGTCACAGGCACCGCCATGTAATCATTGATTTTTACAGTGCTAATCCCCAAATTCAGAAGGTGCTTCTGAATCATAAAAAAATAAAAGATTTGTCAGGGTAATCATTATAATCATACCAACTGTCCCTTGATTTGATGGTGTTTTATTATTGCTTTAAATGTGTTTATATACAGGGTGGCCGTAAAGTTTGTGTGCAATTTAAAATTGCACAATATTTTAAATTGCACACGAAGTGTATGGCCACATTAGATATGTTTTCTTACTTGATTGTCAAGAAGTCTTTGTCATCATCATAGTTTAATAACAATAATAGCTATTGAGTCAGGCAACTTAGGAGGCTGGAGTGGGAGGATTGCTTGAGGCCAGGAATTTGAGACCTTGGGTAACATAGCAAGAACTATGTCTGTAAAAAAACCCCTCCCCAAAACAACAAAAACCCTCCAGCTATTATGCTTACACACACTGAATAATAATGTACTGTATACTGTAAGACATATGTATTATCTTAGATAATCCTTTTGATAAAGTAATGAGGCAGATATTATTTTCAGATGTGAAGACTGAGACTCAGAGGAATTGTTCAACCCATGAGATTTAAATCTAGGTATTGTTCCAAATTCAATTTTTTCTTAATTAGATCATAGTTTGTGCAGTACAGTTGTCTGTAGTAAATGACGAATGTTTGTAAAATGTTCTATGAAAATTCAGCAAACCCTGATTTCTAGACCTTCACTGTATAAGCATTAAGTATGTTTTCAGATACACAATAACCTAATAGAAGTTTTATTTCTTTAATTTAGATGTGCTCCAGCATGCCACGTCTGCCAGAATTTGATCAGGTAAGGCTTAGATGATATGATTCTTTCTAACTTGGAGACACCCTATTTAAAACTCACTGAATGGACTCAGTGAAAGGTGCATGCCATGTCCCTTAACAAGGCCAGTTTTTTTTGATGGAGAATGATTATTTGAATATAACAGACTACTTGAATTACTTAGACCAAGTAAATGGAAGACTTGTAAAGCATTCAATTTTAATGCTGTGATCCAATTTTATTTGAATAATCAAGATGCTTCAGACACACACAGCACTGTCTTTGATCTATAACTTGTAGGTGATGTGTGGCATACCACGCTGGTGGGCAAAAATAACTCTTTAGTGTCATACAAATTTTAACAGTGATTTGCGTATTAAAATATGTAACTGGTTTTACCTTTCTTTTTTGTTTAGGTGGAGGAAAATGAAATTTCCTTAATTTTGATCATAGCCTGAAATTTATATTATGGGTTGAACCAAGATTAATTTATTTTTGCAAAGAATGTTTGGAATCCCCAGTTCAGCAAGACATGGGAAAGGAAAATAGCATTCACAGACGGGCGGGAGGGGGTGGGGGTGGGGGGGTAGGGGAAGGGGGCTGTGTGGGGGGGGAGAGGTCCTACTTAGTTGATCTCTTTCACTTTTTCCTCAAATTCATTTTTCTTTTCAGTAATTACTTAAAATTTTGCTGAAGTTCAAAGCAAACATAAGAAGTAAAAAAGCCTCATTTTACTCCTACTTTATTCTTCAGAAATTCTCCCCGTCAACATCCTCCCAAACCCCACAATCTTCAGAGGTAGCAAAAATGAAAATACAATATGCAAAAGCATTTATTTGCAACTTCAAGTTATTAAAAACAGTTAAAACTCATCATTTTTTGCACTTCACCAGGTCCTAGTTTTCTTTTTTTGATAGAGAGAACCATCAGTCTCAATATTAGTGACTGTGTGATCCTCCTCCTCCCCTCAGAATCTCATTTATTTTCTGTTTTTGGTTTGTTAATTTATTTAAAGTTTTTGTTGTTGTTTGTTTGTTTTTTGTTCTTTTTTTTTGAGACAGAGCCTCAAGCTGTCCCCCTGGGGGACAGAGTGCTGTGGCATCATAGCTCACAGCAACCTCCCACTCCTGGGCTCAAGCGAGTCAGGTGCCCACCACAACGCCCAGCTATTTTTGGGTTGCAGCTGTCATTCTTGTTTGGTGGGCCTGGGCTGGACTTGAACCCACCACCTTAGGTGTATGTGGCTGGCGCCTTAGCCGCTTGAGCTATAGGCGCTGAGCCTGTTTGTTTTAAGAGGTAGGGTTTTTCCTCTGTTGCCCAGGGTAGAGTATAGTAGCATTGTCATAGCTGACTGTAGCTTTAAGCTCCTGGGCTCAAATGATCCTCTTGCCTCCGCCTCTGGAGTAGCTGGCTAGTTTTTAATTTTTTTTTTATAGAGATAGGGTCTTGTTATGTTGCCCAGGCTGGTCTTGAGCGCCTGGCCTCAAATGATCTTCCTGCCTCAATCTCCCAAAATACTGGCATTATACGTGAGAGTGACTGTGCCCAGTCTGAACCTCACTCATTTCTGATGCCCCATTACAGCCATCTGTCTGGGGCTCTGTTTCTGAGCTTTTTTTTTTTTTTCAGTATCATTGATCACTCCTCTCAAATGCCACTCTTTTTCATCATCACCATTTTGTAATATAGTATCTTGATATCTGATAGGACAAGTCACCTATGCTTTATTCTTTTTTTTTGACTGGGGCTGGGTTTGAACCCACCACCTCCAGCATATGGGGCTGGCTGGCGCCTTACTCATTTGAGCCATAGGTGCCGCCCTATGCTATATTCTTTTTCAAAGTTGTTTTTGCCCTTTTGGGCACTTCTATACATCCATATAAGTTTTAGAATCATTTTGTCATGCTCTTTGAAAGATCCTTTCTGGATTTTGTTGAGTATTTTATTGGATTCATAAAATAATTTGAGGCGGGGAGTGGTGGCTCGTGCCTGTAATTCTAGCACTCTAGGAGGCTTAGATAGGTGAATTGCCTGAGCTTAGGAGTTGGAGACCAGCCTGAGCAAAGACTGAGACCTCATCTCTACTAAAAATAGAAAAACAAGCATGGTGTGGAGGCACATGCCTGTGGGCCCAGCTACTGGTTGAACCTCACAATTTGCATTTTTTTTTATGTTGCTTTTTATACACCCGGAAGTTTTCCTCACCTGTGCGTGTTCTGGTTCTCTGAAGAGGTTGTAAACAGTAGCACTTCTTTCTCCTCTGTACTCTTACCGTGTGCTGCCTGCAGTGGCTGTGCAGTAAGCATCTGCTGCCTAGTTAGTGATCAGCTCTTTTGGCAGAGGGTCCTGGACAGTGAGGATTGTTGCATGTTCTCAGTTAAAGGAAAGGAAAGCCCATCAGAGACCACCTTGCCCAACCAACCCATCAGTATTGCAGTTGAGGAAATGGAGGCCCTGGGGAGTAGAGATGTGCAGCGCTGGTCATCTCCCGGCCCAGTGCTCTTGTGCCAGGCCACATGGTTTTCTAGGTGCTTCTTGTTTGTGGTCCTGGCTGCCAGCTCTTCAGCTCTTATCTTTGGGCACCTCTGCTTGTCAGCCACAGCCCACAGCTCTGTAGACAGTGTTGAGTCCTTTAGGGCTGTTATAACAAAATGTCACCAGCTAGGTGGCTTAAATGACAGAAGGGAATTTCTCACAGTTCTAGAGATTGCAAATCCAAGGTCAGGGTATTGGTAGGTTTAGTCTCCTGAGGCCTCTCTCCTTGGTTTGAAGTGTCCTGTCTTTTGCTAATTCCTTACAGGGCTTTTTCTCAGTGTGCCCATATCCCTGGGGTCTCTGTGTCTTCTTAAAAAGACACCACTCCCATCAGATTAGGGCCCTACCTTTAGGACCTCATTTAACTTAAAATTGCCTCCTTCAAATCTCCAAATATAGTCACATTGGCGTCAGGGCTTCAGCATGTGAATGTGGGGGAAACACAATTCAGTCCATAACATCCCGTCACATTTTTCTACCATGTACTCAAATGCATTTGACACCTTTGTCTCTTTAGAGCTTTTTGGAAACAGATCTCTGGTCAGTTCAAGACTTCCTTATTGTATTTTCTTCTTACTGGATATATTCTCTGTCAGATAATTAAATCAAAGTATAGATGCTAGCTATGGCATTTACTAATATATAATCCAAAGGATTAATTATACACTAGAATGTTCATACTGGAATTTAGAAGGAAGTGTTGTCAAAAGGAATATGGGCTCTTTTCAGGCATTCAGGGCAGGGCATTATAGGCATTACTGTTCAGATGGGGAAGGGAGAACTGTGGACCTGCATGCCATTAAAAAAATTTTAAAAAGCTGGGCCTGGTGACTCACACCTGTAATCTTAGCACTTTGGGAGGCTGAGGTGGGTGGATTGCTTGAGCTCAGGAGTTTGAGACCAGCCTGAGCAAAAGCAAAACCCTGTCTCTACTGAAAACAGAGAAAAACAGCCAGGAGTCATGGTGGGTGCCTGTAGTCTCAGGTACGCAGGAGGCTGAGGCAGGAGGATCACTAGAGCCCAGGCATTTGAGGTTGCTGGGAGCTGTGATGCTATAAGCATTCTACCTAGGGTGACAGAGTGAGATTCTGTCTCAAAAAAAAAAAAAAAATGGAAAAAATTGAAAAAAGTTTTTTCTCATCCCATTTCTACCTAGACAAGATGCCATTTTTCAAAAAGGAAGTTTAGAAATTCCAATGTTATAATCTGTCCTGCTTATCTACCATTTTGTTTCCACTTTTAGTTACCCGAGGTCTGAAAATATTAAGTGGAAAATTCCAGAAATAAACAATTTATAAGTTTTAAATTTTGTACCCTTCCTAATAGTGTGATGAAAGCTTCATGCTGTCTTGCTTTGTCCCATCCAGGACATGAATTTCCCCTTTGTCCAGTGTGTCTGTGCCGTAGACTACTTGCTTATTAGTCAATGCATAGCCATCTGGTGATCAGATTGAGTGTCATGGTAATTGCAGTGTTTATGTTTAAATCACCTTTATTTTACTTAATAATGGCCTCAATGCATATGGGTATTGATAGTGGCAATTCAGATGTGCCACAGAGAAACTTTAAAGTGCTTCCCTTAATTGGAAAGATGAAAGTTCTTAGCTCAACTAGCAAAGAAAAAAATTAGCTGAGATTGCTAAAATCTGTGATAAGAACAAATCTATATTTTTTTTTGAGACAGAGTGTCAAGCTGTCACCCTGGCTAGAGTGCCTTGGTGTCATCAGAGCTCATAGCAACTTTCAACTCTTGGGCTCAAGTGATCCTCTTGCCTCAGTTTTTCTATTTTTAGTAGAGATGGGATCTCGCTCTTGCTCAGGCTGGTCTTGAACTCCTGAGCTCTGGCAATCCACTTCCCTTAGCTTCTCAGAGTGCTAGGATTCCAGAGTGAGCCTCAGTGCCCGGCCAAGAACAAATCTTCTATTTTCAAAATTGTGAGGAGGAAAAAGAAATTTGTGCTAGCTTATTTTTAATTGAAAATTTGTGCTAGTTTTCTGTCACACCTCAAAACTGCAAAAGTTATGATCACAGCGTGTAACAAGTACTTCATTAAGATGAAAAAGGGATTATGTTGTAGGTGGAAGACTTGAACAGAAATATGTTCTGACTGAAAATTGGGTTCACTGCTCTCCATGATTTCACCCATCTCTTGGGGGGCTCGGAATGTCTGCTTCGAAGATAAGGGGGAACTACTGTGTATGCATATTTCCTTGAGACAGATTTCATAACCTTAATTGGAGAGTCACAGTGTCTCCTGACCCTTAAAATAAAAAATGAAAATTTAGATTACCTTTTGCTTTTGACACTATTTTCAAATTAATATCTTAATAATTTTAAGCCAGGAGTGGTGGCTCATATCTGCAATCCTATCTCTGGGAAGCCAAGGTGGGAGGATTGCTTGAGGGCAGAAGTTTATAAGTAGCCTGAAAAAATTAGCTGGATGTGATGGGGCACACCTGCAGTCCTAGCTACCCGGGAGGCTGAGGCAGGAGGATCGCTTGAGCCAAGAGTTTGGTTGCTGAGAGGTAGGCTCCTGCCATGGCACTCTGGCCAAGGTAACAGGGTGAGACTCTTTCTTTAAAAAAAAAAAAAAATTTAAATATTAGATATAGTTTGTTAAAAAGGAAATGTGTGTCCTTGCCAACCTTGACATTGCCAGTCTTTGTCAGTGAAAACTTTATGGTGGGTGCATAGTACTGTCTAATTGGGAAAAAACAATTGTTGGCTTGAAGAACACTTAGTCCAGATGACTAGTGTGAGGAAGGAAGAAGGTCATGGTAGGGTAGTTATGGGGCTTTTGCTGTTAGACTCACCCTTGGGATCAGTGACTACACCGACTGGAGCTTGTAGACAAACTTAGGCCTGAAGATTTTAACAGATGAAGGGAATAATAAAAAAAGAAATGCATACATTTTGAGAAATATTCTAAAATGTAGAAAAGAAAAATGACTTCCATTTTTAAAGTTCTTGCTATGTCTATCCAATTCTTATTTTAAAATTTGTCACTAAACTTCATTCATGAAAGCAATATAATTGGGTTACTGCTGTGGAAATAAGAAAATAAGGCCTTTCTTGTAAAGAAATCTGAATTTCCTTTGAGGAAGAGAATCAACTTTAGTTATAGGGAGACAATGAAGCAAACAATTTGAACTTTGTCTATTCATGTGCTGGACCATACATTGACTTGTTTATATTGACAAGAAAGTGAAAGGAAACAGAAATTCAGTATCCAGACAGCTAAACAAAAGACTTACCTGCGAATTAATCAAGGTGAGATGAAGGTCACACATAGGAACTCTACTTATAATAAGTAACAAAATTTCTCTGCTTCTTGATATTTCTTTTATCAAGGTAAGAACTTTTGTGATATCAAATTGATTTTCTAGAGAGGCTCTTCTCACTCATCTAAATTATAACCCTGAGCCTCTGTATTTCTATTTTTGTCAAATTTTATCCACCATGTTGTATAATGCATAAAATGATAAAATGTGACTTGGACAGAGAATAGACATATTTCATAAACACGAATTATGAAACTTAATTGATAAGACTCCCTTAAGATATAGTTGACTATGAACGATTTAGTATAGTTCCAGCCGTTCATATGTCCATCTCCCAGTCCTGTCCTGTTTTTGTTTCATGCACTTTGTTTTATGCATTACAAAAGCTGCTTTTAAATTCTGATGTTTGATATAGCAATTCACTCTTGACCCTTCTTTGCAGTATCTTATTAAAATTGCTTCTGGTAATTTCTAAATTTCTAAATTTAAACACAATTTAAAATTCTTTCCTTCTGCAAATTTATGGAGTCTCTGTGGAACACCTAGCAAACTCTAAAACTCCACATAAGCATTATGCGTTGCAGTGATTATACTGTGTTTATGACATTAGGACTATAATCTGGGCTGAACATGGTGGCTGATGCCTATAGTCCTAGCACTTTGGGAGGCTGAAGTGGAAAGGTCTCTTGAGACCAGGAGTTCAAGAACCTGTCTCTCCCAAAATACCCCACTGTGCTTGTGCTTCAGCTACATGAGAGGCTGAGGCAGGAGGATTGCTGGAGCCCAGGAGTTTAAGGTGGCAGTGAGCTATGATTGTGCCACTGCACTCCAGCGGGGGCAATAAGAGTGATATGCTGTCTCTACAATTAAAAAGTTAAAAAAAAAAAAGGACAAAAGAAAAAAATAAAACAAAGAAAAAAAGAACATACTTTCTTTGATCAGTCTGGTTGGATTTAAAAAATGCTCTGGGCAGTTTGTCAAGTGTACCCAAGAAGGACTTTGGTGTTTTCCGCCTCACATTTATAAAACATTCTTCCAGGGAGGCTCGGTATCTGTAATTATGTGTTCATTCTGTCTGTTTTCACTAATTTCAGTTGCCCTCCAGAACCTCTGCATGAACTACACACAGAATCTCAGAGTTCTCTAACAGTATATTTTCTGGAGTACTGGTTACTAAATTGAGATATGTAAACTCCATAGAGTTGAAAAAACATGCATTGGGATTTCTAAGGAGAGATCAATATTTTTATTTCTACTATTTAATCTAAAAATAATTAAAATGCATTGATGTATTTAAAAATTTCCCACAGTTCATAAGTGAAGTATGGAAAGGTGTACAGTGAAAAATCTCCCCCCGGATTGCCCCTGGGGAGGAGGCAGCCCAGTTTCATTCCCCCATTCATGGCTTCCACTGTTATTAATTTCTTGTGATTCCTTTTAGAGTTTTTAATCCATATGTCAGCAAACACAATTTTTAATCCATATATAAGCATACACATTTTGGTTTTTCTCCTGTCCTCTGTTTTTCACAAATCCTGATTTCATGATAGTGTCTTAGTCCTTAGTCCATGTGGGCCTCTATAACAAAATACCATAAACCAAGTGGCTTATAAATAACAGAAATGTATTTCTCACAGTTCTGGAGGCTGGGAAATCCAAGATCAAGGTGCTGGCAGATTTGATGTCTTGCAGGGGCCCGTTTTCTCAAAATCGTGCCTTCTCGCTGTGTCCACCTATGGTGGAAGTGATAGTTATTTGTGGCTGGGGCCTCTTTTATGAGGGCCCTAAACCCCAGTCATGTAGACTCTGCCCTCATTACCTAATCTCCTTACATGGCCCTAGCTACAGATATGATCACTTTGGTGGGGATAGGATTTCAACATAGGAATTGGGGGGACGCAAACATTCAGGCCATTGCAGATGGAATGCCATGCGTGCTGTTCTGTACTTTGCTTTCTTCGCTTAACCGTACGCTTTAGAGCTCCTTCTGAAACAGGCTAGAGAGAGCTTTACTTTTTTGTACAGAATATGGATATGTCATCAATCATGTGTTTGGTTCCCTATTCATGGACATCTAGGTTACTTAGTTATTTGCAATCATTTGTGATTATTAACAGATCTATAATGAATAACTTGGGGAACTTGTGATCTTCCTTATAGCCTAACTAATGTTTAATAGGTGGATTGACATTAATATATGATATAATTTATCAGTAAACATACATATGTTAGAGTGATGCTCAAGATTTTTGCTTTTTCTTTTTTTTGAGAAACGGTCTCACTTTTTCACCCTCAGTAGTAGAATGCTGTCATGTCATAGCTCACAGCAACCTCAAACTCTTAGGCTCAAGTGATCTCCTTGCCTCAAGCCTCCCCAGTGGCTGGGACTACAGGCCCCTGCCACAACACTAGGCTATTTTTAGAGACAGGGTCTTGCTCTTGATCAGGTTGGTCTCGAACCTCTGAGCTCAGGCAATTCATCTGTGTTGGCCTCCCAGTGTGCTAGGATTACAAGCATGAGCCACCATGCCCAGCTTATATTTTTGCTATTGGCAGAGTTGTCTTCACACATTTTATTGTACCATATCATTAAATTTGGGGGGATATGTATCCCAATATATGTATATTTGTTTATCAATTATATAAATGTACTCTTATACAATATATTATATGCATTATAGAAACAAAGCACTATAAATAGAATAGATAAATGAACAATTTTAAAATATTTTATTTTAAAATATTTATTTTAGTAATGCCAAAAGGTCTTTTCTCCCAAGTATTATTATAGAAAAGGAGATGTAAAATCTATTTCATATTTATCCTGTTTGCATTGTCTTGTGTCTTACAGAGAGCTTATATGAGTAGTGGGAAGGAGATGTGTTGGTTCTGTTGTTTTCTTATTGTTTGCTTGTACTTAGTGGTATTATCTCCAGTTTATTGCTTAATTACAGAAACTTATTAAATTGCTTGTCCATTTTGTGAGGAATGCACTGGTTGAAACAAGGTAATATAATCTTTAAGTCCACTTAATAGTCACAATATAAATTATTATTTGTTAGATGCCCTTGAATTCAAGAGAGCTATGTAGTCTGGAATCAAGACCAAGTGAGGGTACATGAGCCAGCAACCATCAGTGCCAGGCAAGATCTTCTACCAGCACAGAGCTTACAACTTGCTGAAGGTTTAGATTATTCACATTTTTTAACAATATGTTATTATTTTTATTTATTTTTTATTTCAAAATATTAAGGCAGAGAACCATGGAGAGTGTTTCTAAACTTCAAAGGCAATCCAAGGTTATAAATTTAGTATCAATCTTACTGTGAAGTTTTAAGAATTAATATATGGGATCTATACATTACTCTAGAAAAAGGTAGATCCAATGTATCTATTTTCTATTCTAAAGTTGTTTTGTTTTTCTTTGAATTTAAGGTGTTACTGTGGTCGATTGGTCAGAGACCATCCTGGAGTAGATTATGCCTGGACCACGTCAATTGATAAGAGTAGTGAAAATGAACAGTGGTCTGTTGAAAAGCACACAACAAAAAGTCCTACAGATGCCTTTGGCACAATTAATTTCCAAGATGGAGAGCACACCTACCACTCCAAGGTTTGCTAAGAACCCAATTGTTTTGCTGGTTTTGAACAGAGGATAACCTCCAAATGTGTTTCTAAGTTGTATCTACAAGTATAAATAATCAGATGACCTGGTCTTTTTGCAGAAGTGACCTGTGTTACTGACCCACTTGACAAAAATGGCGTGACTCTCTCTTTCCTTTATGTCTGAGGGGGTTTGTATCTTTCCCAGGTTTGGCGTGGCCTGCTTTTTATTTGGCTGACCTCTCTTAGCAAGCTTCCACTCTGCAGAAGAGAATGGCTTATTGCCCTTGAGATAATTGCCAGTGGGCTGCCCTTTTCTTTTGTTTATTTTTTGGGGGGCTGCCTTTTTCTTAAATAATGAAAAAAGTTGCTCCCAAGGACCAGGCTTTAGCCCAAGCATGACCATAGCAAATGCCAGTAACTTAGGACTGTTTACTCTCCCAAGTTCTTCTGAGAACCTCTTCTCAGAAATATAGGAGAATTTTTCCTCTCTGCCCATTGTATGATGATAATACTTGGGTTTTCCAGATCAGTTTTCCCCCTATTCCTAACATGGTAATTATGCACATGATTTACATAGTGAAAATCATATACATATACATATACATATATATTTTTTTGAGACAGAGTCTTACTCTGTCACCCTGGGTAGAGTGGTGTGGTTGCTCACAGCAACCTCCAAGTCTTGAGCTTAAGAGATTCACTTGCCTCGGCTTCCTAAGTAGCTGGGACTGTACGTGCCCACCATAATGCCTAGCTGTTTTTTTAGAGACAGGGTCTTGCTTTTGCTCAGGCTGGTCTCAAACTCCTGAGTTCGAGCAATCTACTCCCTTTAGCCTCCCAGAGTGTTAGGATTACAGGTGTGAGCCACTGCACCCTGAATTACTTACTATATCAACATGCTGGCAATCCCTCAGGTGTTTTCCCTTGAGCACCTTGACAACCTGCTGCTTCAAGGGAGGCAGCTTTTTCTGAGGGAACTGCTGGTAGGGCTTACCTCAGAAAAGCTCTGAATCACATCTGTGCTGGAGAGTGACCATCAGTGGCCATTCCTAGTAACACAGTCATCGTAAAATTTCAAACTGCATTTACACTATAATCTACATTTCCAATTATTAGTCATCTTGCATTTAATTTGTGTTGATGTTTTTTTAGTTGGTAAGAAAATTACTGTACCTCCACTCCCAGCCCCCATTCTCTTCACCAATCCTTTTTGGAAACTGACTCTTAAAGAACCCTCTGTGCATTTTCCCCTTAAGTTTCACTCTTCTTGCTTTTGCTTTTATGTTTCTCCTTCTTCTCCTCCTTATCTTTCTTCCTCTTCTTCTTTCAGAGACAGTGTCTTGTCCTGTCTGAAGTGTGGGTGGCATAATTGTAGCTTACTGCAGCTTCAAACTCCTGGGTTCAAGAAATCCTCCTGCCTCAGCCTCTTAAGTAGTAGCTAGGACTACAGCTGTGTGCCACCATGCCTGGCTAATTTCTTCATTTTTATTTTTCGTAGAGATGAAGTCTTGCTATGTTGTCTGAGCTCATCTGGCCTCAACTGACCCTCCCACTTTGGCCTCCCAAAGTGCTAGGATGGCAAGCATGAGCTACTATTTCCAGGCCTATGTTTATTCTTCTGTAGCCCCCTTCATTTATTTGTATTTTCATCCATCCAACAAATACTTCGTGTGTGTCCATATTTGCTATACCCCATAGGGCATATATTCTATGTACTAACTTTGCTTATGGTTCAGTGAGGGAAACACAAAGTACATACACTTCCTGAAGACAAATGCTAGGAAAAGGGAAGACAGGTTCTTTGAGACAATGGAAAGAGCAACATGTGTTTTTGAGGGGGCAGCATGTGTGTTAAGGAAGCTGTCTGAAAGTAGTGACAGCTAAGCTGAGATGTGGGAGGTGAGGAGAATGGTGTCAGGTGAGGCAGCAGGGGACAGCCACTCCAGACATTAGGAATGGCTTGTGTAAAGGCCAAGAGAGTGTGTGGTGCATTCAGGGCACCTGAAAATACAGCTGGATGTATCTTCCTGCTAAGTGTTATGCTTTATGCTTCCCATTCAGCTCCTGCCATAGCCTTTGCACCTAAATGCATTTATTTAATGTTTCAGAAGAGAAGAGGCCAGCATTCGTATTTAGTCCCAGAATTGCACTTCAGGTTTATAGTGGTCCACAAGAAAGATTTGAAGAGCTGTTATTTTTTCTTTCTTAATTATTTTAGAGACATGTCTCCTGTCACTTAGGCTGGAGTGTAGTGGTGCACTCATAGCTCATTGTAACCTCTGCTCCCCTGGGGTCAGGCAATCCTTCTGCCTCAGCCTCTCAAGTAGCTGGGATTACAGGTGCATACCACCTGCCTGGATAATTTTTAAATTTTTATGTAGAGACAGGGGTCTTACTATGTTACCCAGGCTGGTCTCCAACTTCTGGCCTCCCAAAGTACTGGGATTACAGGTGTGAACTCCTAGACATGAGACGTGTCTCTGGTGGAGGGCTGGTTATTCATCTTCCTCCCCTGAATTCCCCTGCCCAGTTGTTTATCTTTCCATCTCATTTTATCCACCAAGGATGTGTAGTGAATCTCTGACAGTAGGATTCTTCCTAAGAACATTAATCATAAAGACACAGAGGAAAGTTGAGTCATCAACTCTTTCCCATGGTCTTCAGTTGGCCTTTAGGAGAAAAGACCTCTAGTGCTGATGATTTAGTTCATTAAGACTGTTTATCCTGAAATTTCAAGGAGAAATATCGTTTATGACTGTACTTATACTTGAAGGAGAGAGTGTCTGGGAGAAAGAGTAGGTTGAAGAGAAGGTGAACTAAAGAGCTGGAGCCTCTATTCTTTTTTTCTTTTTGTAGTTTTTGGCCAAGGCCAGGTTTGAACCCACCACCTCCGGTGTATGGGGCCAGCCCCCTACTCCTTTGAGCCACAGGTGCCGCCCTGGAGCCTCTATTCTTATTCATTATTTGCAGCAACATAAACCATTTCACTAAGACTATTTTTTCCTACTAACCACAAAAGCAGTTTCTTTATTCATAAATTGAGTCCAGATTATTCTTATATTCTTTCTTTTATTCACAGTTTTCAATAGCTACACAGTCCAATGTTCAGGAATTATAACATTTTAATTATGAAATAAAAAGATTATCTATTAGGAAGTTCATGGATGAATGGGAAATTGTCTTAAATTGGTATCATATTCTGGAAGCTAAGGTAATAATTCCTATGTGCATGTATAGAGACTTTTACCTGTGGTTATTTTTGGTATAGTTTTATAATTCCTGCTTTTTTTTTTTTTTAAGAGACAGTCTCACTTTGTTGCCCTTAGTAGAGTGCTGTAGCATCACAGCTCATAGCAACCTCCAGCTCTTGGGCTTAGGCAATTTTGCCTCAGCCTCCTGAGCAGCTGGGACTACACTGTGGCGCCTGCCACAATGCCCAGTTATTTTTTTGTTGCAGCCAGGGCAGGGTTTGAACCTGCTACCCTTGGCATATGGGCCCGGCACCCTACTCACTGAGCCACAGGTACTGCCCCCAATTCCTGCTTTTTTATTGTCCTTATTCCTTGTTATAAATCTGGCATATTCTTGCTCTTGGTTAGCCTTTACTTGAAGTCAAAGTCATCTCAATTTTATCTGGTCTATATGTGGCTGTATTTACTGGACAAAGCAAGATAGTATACAATATTATCTTAGGAAAAGTGAAACATGATTCTGGGGCCCCTGATAGTTTGGATTTTTCTTTGCATTGATTATTCAGTGTTGACTGTTTTGTAAAAAGTATTTATTTTGGGGAAAATGCTTTCAGAGGGATAATGATATATAAAGGAAGTGATTAAAAGATAAAATTTAGGCAGGCCTGGTGGCTCACTAACGCTCCGCTCCAGGAGGCTGAGGTAGGAGGCTCACTTGAGCTTAGGAGTTTAAGACCAGCCCAAGCAAGAGTAAGATCCCATCTCTACTAAAAATAGAAAAATTAGCCTGGCATTGTAATCCATGTAATCCTATCTGCTCCAGAGGCTGAGGCAGGAGCATTGCTTGAGGCCAGGAGTTTGTGGTTGCTGTGAGCTAGGCTGACACCGTGGCATTCTAACTTGCAGCAACTGGGTGAGCCTCTGTCTCAAAAAAAAAAAGGAAAGGACAAAAATTACAATAAATTAAACGTATGTGCTTCTCAACTTTAAATTAAGCAGATATGTGAAATAAATTAAAAGCCCTAGGAAAAGTCCCATTTCACCTATTTTTTAGGGTTTGCTGATGCAGTGATTTTGGCCAGTCGTTTGAAGTACTTCTGCCTCACCCCAGGCCTTCTGGAGAGCACTGATGGGCGACCCTCAGAACCAGAGGAAGCTCTCCTACAGTGACTTGTAATTCCCAGAAGTAACTTAAAGGGGGGTGTGGGATCTTTTAAAAGTAAATATTTCTGTTACCTGAAGATGAACTTTTAAAGAGATCCCAGACACTTCCTTTCAAGTTGTGGCCGCGTCAGCTCCCCTGCTGTGTGGCCATTGTGTCTCTGCCTGGCGATGGTTTTCATTATTTCCTGTTCATGTGTGTGTGTGCCTGTCTTGCAGTATATCAGAACTTCTTATGACACAAAATTGGATCATCTGTTACATTTAATGTTGAAAGAGTGGAACATGGAACTGCCCAAGCTGGTGATCTCTGTCTATGGGGGCATCCAGAACTTTAGGGTGCCCTCCAAGCTTAAAAAGATCTTCAGCCAAGGTTTGGTCAAAGCTGCAGAGACGACGGGAGCGTGGATAGTCACGGAAGGCATCAATACTGGTAAAGCATGTCCCTGGCCCTCCACCTGGCCGCCTTCCTGGCTGTTTTCATTTTCTCTTTCTGAGTGTCAGAAATGCAGTGTGTCATCTCATCTTTGCCCTGCAGCTCCCGGGAGATGTGGTGCTGTGACAGAGAAAGAGGAAAAACCTAGTGACGGGAAAATAAACCCAGAAACATCACAGGCTTTTCCTGGAATGTGTTTTTGCTATTGTCAACATATACTTTTTTAAAACATAATTTTGGGAAACTTCTAGCAAAGAAAATGGTCTTTCCTGAGTTTCAGACTATGGTGAGGTCACATTGGACTTTGGGACACTGAAACCATGCCAGTGGATAGTGTGTGGGCCTGGACTTGAGCTCAACTCGTGTTATCGCTGTCAAGTTCTTAGACATGGGAAATCACTGACGTGTGCAGACCTCACGCCGAGAGTATCGGTCAGAAGTAGATAATTACTTCTTTTTTTTTCTTTGAACAATGTGTTTGCCAGTAAACGTCTTTATTACTGACTTTTATACTCCTTGAAATATGACATTGAAGAACTTTGTGTAGTGGCCTCTGAACTTTATTCCTTTGCTTCAGTGTTTATGATGTCTGCACATTAGAATCATCTGGGGAGTTTTAAAAACACACATATACACAGGCTCTGCCCCCCGTGAAGTGGAGGCTTTCAGGATGGGGCTTGTCTGATGTGCAGTGGGATTGAGAACTAGTGACTCCATAAATCCTTGTCTCTTCCCAGTCTGTTCCTAACCTTTGGTTTCCGTTTTCCCTTCCTTTTTTGATTTGGTATGCCCTAGCCAGTGTCTCCTATCAAGTTCTGCCTATTGCTATAAGACCTGTCCTAGATGCCAACAGACCCACCACCAACCTCTGACTATCTCAACTAGAGTTTCTCAATTTTTGAGACAGAGTTTTACTCAGTCATCCTTGGTAGAGTGCTGTGGCGTCATAGCTCACAGCAACTTCAAACCCTTAGGCTTAAGCCTCAGCCTCCTGAGTAGCTTGGGACTACAGGTGCCTGGCACAACGCCTGGCTACTTTTAGAGATGAGGTCCTGCTCTGGCTCAGGATGGTCTCAAACCTGTGAGCTCAGGGAATCCACCTGCCTCAGCCTCCCAAGTGCTGGGATTACAGGCATGAGCCACTGTGCCGGACTGGGTTTCTCACTTTTGTTCCTTTTTTTTTGAGATAGAGCCTCGCTTTGCTGCCCAGGTTAGAGTGCAGTGGCATCATCGTAGTTCATTGCTACCTCCAACTCCTGTATAGCTGAAACTACAAGCACCCGCCACAACATCAGGCTGATTTTTCTATTTTTGGTAGAGATGGGGGTCTTGCTCTTGGTCAGGCAGCTTAAGCTCAAGTAATTTTCTCTCCTCAGCCTCCCAGAATGCTAGTATTACAGGTATAAACCACTGCACCCAGCCTCACTTTTGTCTCTTAACTGCCTTTAAAAAAAGAATATTCTACATACTGACAATTTTAGAGATAATGGTCTTGCTATGTGGCCCAGGCTGGTCTTGAACTCCTGGCCTCAAGCATTTCTCCTACCTTAGCCTTCTGAGTAGCTGGAACTTTAGGCATGTGCCACTGCACCTGGCTTGTGTCTTAATTTCTATAGCATTTACTGCCTGTAGCACTTGTAGAATGTTTATATTTTACCTTGAAGGTTAGGAAGAGTCTGTGAGTTGGCTGTCCTTCTTGGTTATGCTTAGAGGCCTAGGGCTGGACATCTGCCTAATTAGCAACACATACTGATTTCACGACAAATTCTTATGACTAAAAAGGAATGAAGGAAGAAAATGACTGACATATAAAACAAAATAAAACCAAGGGATTTGCCCTGTCACTAATAGGTAACTTGGTAGTTCATCTTGCATATTTTATGGAGATAGTTATTGTTTCACATTCTTGGAATCAGCTGGAGTTGGCAGAGTTCTAAGTTCATTGTATTTATTTTGTTTATTTATTTATTTTATTTCCAGTAAAGAAGGGAGGTGGGGTAGGGAAGTTTTGCAGAATTCAGAAAATGGTAGATTTGGGCAAGGCTTTTCCTTGAATAATTGACTGATTACATGCTTTATTTTACTTAATACTTAAAAAAAAAACTAGGTGAGGCCCAGCTAACCCAAAAGAACACAGATTACACTATAAAGGTGCCTGAAATAACGAAGGAAGTGGGAAATGAGAAATACTCGGAGCTCCCCTAAACAGCAATTGGTCTGACCTGATTCAGTGGCAGCTCGCCTAAGGCTTGACTCTTTGAGGAGTGGTCCTTGGACCAGCAGCACCAGTATCAATTGGGGCCTTGCTGGAAATGCAGATCTCAGGCCTTGCCTAGACCTGCAGAAGCCAAGTCCATGTATTAGTAATGCCCCCGAAGATCCTTATGCACTCTTTTTTATTGAGCCAGAGCCTCAAGCTGTCCCCCTGGGTAGAGTGCTGTGGCATCAAAGCTCACAGCTACCTCCAACTCCTGGGCTCAAGTGAGTCTCCTGCTTCAGTCTCCCACGTAGCTGGGACCACAGGCGCCTGCCACAACAGCCCAGCTAATTTTTGGTTGCAGCTGTCATTGTTGTTTGGTGGGCCTGGGCTGGATTCGAACCTGCCACCTTAGGTGTATGTGGCTGGCACCTTAGCCCCTTGAGCCATAGGCGCTGAGCCGTATGCACTCTTAAATTGAGGAGTTCTGCTTAATGGTTTGGGATCTTTGACATTGACCTAAACTGAATGCCACGGCCTTAAGAATCCACAATGTGGATTCACCTCCTAAATGAAGAACTCAACTACAACTTTAACTTTACCTTAGATATGAAAACAATGCAACCTAAACATTTATATCCTCAGAGTAATGTAGAAAAAAAAAAGAGAATCTACTATGTATAAGGCATTTAGATAAGTTCTGAGATAAGTAATGTGAGCCCCAGGTTTGGTATCATGGGCGAGTGTGACAAACAGACAAAAAGTAACTAGCTAGAAATTGATGCTGACTGGGGGATAGAAGAAGAGGGAGATGAATTCCAGCTTCAGCTGAGGGTACCTTTGAGGGGCTTGGGAAGGGCATAGGGTAGAAAGAGGAGGCCTTCTAGTAATAGTTGGTAGCTCAGGGCCAGGCACACAGCTGGAGATTAAGGCATGTGCAGATGGAAGTGATAAGGCCCCTGGCTGGAGAGTGTACCATGTGACAGGAGACAGGGCCAGCAGAGTGGACGAGAGCCAGATTGGTGCCCTGCTCGGGTTTTATTCTGGATGTGGCAGGGAGCCCTGCTAGGATTTTTGAAAAGGAGAATGAGTGAGGGGAATGACATGGTCAGATTGGTTAGAGAGTCTCAATATACCATTTGTATTATGATCACATGTTGCATGCTTAAGAATAACATCATGGGGGCAAACAAACCATGCCAAACATCTAGAATTAGGATCTCTGTTGGGGTGACTGGCTCTACTTGGATATCAATGTACTCCTGAACTCAGACTCTAAAGCTGACTGTGGAAGAGGTTTTGAAGATAGATCGGAGGGGAACGTGCCAGAGAAATGGAGATGATTTAGGTGTGGAGCATTGGTTGCATGCAATATGTAAGGTTTTGTTTGCTTTTTTCTGTGCTAATGCCACATATCCAAGTCAGTACTCTACACAGGAAGAGTAAGTCTTGTGATGCAGTGTTGTGATTAAAGGCCAGGTTTAGCCAATCTCAAAGGTTACTATGGTATAATTTTAACTACAGTGTATGTCATTTTGGAAAAGGCAAAACCATGGAGACAGTAGAAAAAAGACCAATGGTTGTCAGTGGCTGGGAGGAGAGTCTGTGAAGAGGAGGCATACAGGTGATTTCAGGGCCCTGAAAACCTTCTGCATGATTCTACAGTGGTGGATACATATCTTTATACAGTTGACGAAGCTCACACAGTGTATGTACCAAGAGTGAGCCCTAATGTAAGCTGTGGACTCTCGGGGTATGTAGTGATCCATTAATGCGGGTTCATCCATTGTAACAGATGTACTACTCTGGTGGGTGATGTTGGCAGCTGGGCCGCTGTGTTTGTGTAGTGGCAAGTAGTGTGATGGGAACTCACTGTACTTTCTGTTCAGTTTTGCTGTGACCCTAAAACTGCTCTAAAAAATAAAGTCTTTTTAAAAAATTTTATTTATATATTTATTTTTTAAGGCAATAAGTTTTTTAATGCCACTTAATAAAAATACAAGAACGCAAATCCACTTTTATTTACTTTTCATCGGTTTAAATCCTTGAGGAGTGCAGTCTCACATGGATTCTGTGTCCAACGGCCTTAGCAGGAAGGTTGCTTAGGAATCTGGCATGCACCGTGCCACTGTTTCCGTGGGCCCAAGTTACCTTTCTGCCTGTTACCCTGGTTTTGTTCTGTTTGCCGCCAGGAGTCACTGTGTTGTTTTTTTGTTTTGTATGCACAAGCACTTCTCTTTCGGTTTCATCTCAGGCATAAACACCTTCAATTTTACGAAATGCTATGTGCTCTCTTTGATTCTGGAGACTCTGCTTATAGCCAGTAAAAGTGGCCTTGGACCACAGCCTTCCAGACATAGTTGCCTTTGTCCATAGGCCCCAAGATGATGGAAAGAGGAAGTCATTTTTTGTTTGTTTGTTTTTGAGACAGAGTCTCACTCTTGCTCTGGGGTTGAGTGTCATGGTGTAATCATAGCTCACAGCAACCTCAGACTCTTGGGCTCAAGCAATCCTCTTGCCTCAGCCTCCCAAGTAGCTGGGACTATCATTTTTTTTAAAGATCGCCTAGACTGAAAGCCAAGCTCTACAAATTACCAGCTCTGTAATCTTGAGAAATGTATGTGTGCATTTAACCTCTTTGTGATGCAGGTTTGCCTATAAAATGGACTAAAAAAGTTCCTTTTAATATGTAAATACATTTAAAGGTTGCCCACATTTACTGAAAGCTATGTGTCAGTAAGTGTTGGCTATTGTAATTATTGTTAGTAGTCCCAGGAGAGCGAATATTAATGTACTACTCCTTGATGTATTAGCTGTGGAATATTTATGTGTATAAAACATTAAATTCATTTGTCTTAATGAAGCAAGAGGCATCTCTGAAGGATGTTTGACTGGGACATTAGAGAAAATCCTTCACGATGTCAGGGCTGGGCTTCATGAGGCGGGACAATACACAGAACATTCTTAGGTAAGAGTAGGAACAGAACTGAGGTAGAAACTGCCATAAGTGAGAGGAGAATTGTTAGGGTAGAGAGAGGTCAATGATAGGAGAAAAAGATGCCAAGAAATAGAAAGGAAGCTAAAATATCAGGGCTTGATCCTACGGGGCCAGTAGCTCTCTGTTAGAATAGCCTTTTGCACAGGCTTGTGTATTTGTTTCTTTCTGGTGGTTACCATGTTTCACATGATTTCAGAATTTAAGTTTGATTTTTAAACTTGTTCTTCGTAGGAGTGTCCAAGCATGTTGGCGATGCCCTGAAAGCCCATTCCTCTCAGTCCTTGAGAAAAATCTGGACAGTTGGAATCCCACCTTGGGGTGTCATTGAGAACCAGAGAGATCTTATCGGAAATGATGTGAGTAGACAATGCTTTCACAACAAAAGGAAATGAACACACATCCCAGTTGCCAGTGTAAGGCTGTCCCTGGGTGTCTAATGGACATCACGAATGTAGTACATCCCAAACCAACTCCTGACTTCCTGCTACTTCCCTCACCCTGTCTTAGAGAACGGCAGTCCCATCCTTGTACTTGCCTAAGCCAAAAACCTTGGATTAATCCTGGAATCGTATCTGTCTTATGCCTCAGACCTGATGCATCAGTAAATTATTTCAGCTCTACTTTAGAATATACCCAGTATCTGACCTCATCACTTCTGGTGTTACTGAGCAGGTCCAAGCCACTGGGATCTGTCACCTGCATGATCATAATAACCTTCCTTACTCTTACCCTCAAATCTTCACTTACAGCCCCTGTCTTGCTTGGAATAATAGCAAAGGCTTTTCAATGGTTTACACTTAGTGAGACAAGGGGTTTTCTTAACTTTGTCCTTGTTAGTTCTCTTCCGTCTTCTCGTTTTTCTCTCTACTTCATCCTTACATACTAATTCTATGAGTTCTTTTAAAGGAAATATACTTATTTGTTGATAAGACTACTGTAAATGTTTGGTAAAAATATCAGATATTAGAAAAAGCATAAAGAGAAAAAAGGTAACTATTGTTAATATTTTAGTGTATATTAATCTAGAATTTTTCTGTGTATGCATGTATATGAATGGTAAAAAGAAGTGTTTATTTCAACAAATTTAACAACAGAAACCCATGCTATGAATTTGCTTTGTAAGCTTAACTATCTAACATAGTTATTTCTCTATGTCCATTAAGATAGACATGCATGTGATTTACTTAAACTTTTATTTTGGAAAATTTCAAGCATACTAAACAGTAGGGAGATTAGAATAATGAATTCTTTCCTATGTCCCTATATCCCAGCTTCAATGGTTACCAACTCATAGCTGATTTTGTGTCCTCTCTTCCCTGTTCCATTTCCAATTAACCTCCTCTCTTATTCTGAAGGAAATTCGAGACATCAAATAATTTCATTTGTGACTATTTTAGTAGTTGTTTCTGAAATATGTGGCCAATTAAAAAATTAAACCATAATGCATTTATAATACCTAAAAAATTAACAGTAATTCCTGAGTATCATCAACTATCTAGTCCACTTAATTTTTCATTGTCTTGGCTGGGTGTGAAGGCTCATACCTGTAATCCTAGCACTCGGGAGGCCGAGGCGAAAGAATCATTTGATCTCAGGAGTTCTACACCCCCCGGAACCAAGATTGAGACCTTTTTTCTACTAAAAATGGCAAAAGTAACTGGGTATTGTGGTTGGCATCTATAGTCTCAGCTACTCAAGAGGCTGAGGCGGGGGGATCACCTGAACCCAGGAGTTTGAGGGTACTGTGAGCTAGGATGATGCCATGTAACTCTAGACTGGGCAACAGAGTGAGACTGTGTCTCAAAAAAATTTTTTTTCATTGTCTCATAGTTTTTAAATTTGTTTGATTTTATTATCCAAAAAGTTTAATACATTATTCAAAGTTTTTAATTGTTTGATTTTATTATCCAAAAAGTTCTATACATTGTGATGGGCTGATGTGTCTCTCTTTACCTGCTTTTTTTGGAGTCACTTTTAATGTATAGATTTTAACTCCATCTTGCCTCCCACTCCCTTTTAAAAACTTTTATTTGTTGAAGAAACTGAGTGATTTGTCCTGAAAAGTGTTCCATGGTTTGGATTTTCCAGATTTCATCCTTGATTGTAGGATTGACATGTCTCTTCTGTCTCCTGTCTTTCCTGGAAATTGCTAGTTTTGCTCCAGAAGTATGAGCAGATTTCTTTTTGGACAAGTTTGAAAGATATTTTATATTGTAATTCAAGTGAACCATGTTTTTGGTTTGCCAAATAAATATGCGGCATTTCTCACAGTTTTTATTTTATATTATTTACGATCATTTTTTTCATATATATAAGATATGGGCTCAAGTGGCTAAGGCGCAAGCCATATACACCTAAGGTGGCGGGTTTGAATCCAGCCCGGGCCTGCCAAAACAACAATGATGGCTGCAACCAAAAAGTAGCCGGGCATTGTGGCAGGCG